AGCTCTATCTCTGTAGGGATCCTTTCATAATGCTGTCAGACACTTAGAATAACAATCTGAGCCTGTCAGTGACAAAACAAACACTGTTAGTGGACAGACACTGACGGTGTGAACAGAGTGGTTACATTACAGCCTGTTTTTGTGGCTGTCGGCTGCAGCGCTCTCTGTCAATACTGGACCAGTTTTAGAAATTGTTCCCATCAGTCACTGAGACACAGAAACATGGGGAAATGGAGTCCAGGCTATAAGTTACCTTTTCAGTAAAGTTTTGAATGCAGGAGGTAAAATATCTGGGTATGTCTTCCATCACTGGTGTTGCCATGAAGACTAACAGTACGTGTGTGTGTGTGTGTGTGTGTGTGTGTGTGTGTGTGTGGTCACAGTGTGTCCCAGTGGAAAGTTCGGTAAAGCCTGCGCTGAGGCGTGTTTGTGCACCAACAACGGCACCTGTAACCCAATCGACGGCTCCTGTCAGTGCTACCCTGGATGGATCGGCGAGGACTGCTCCAAACGTGAGGCGCCACAAATCATCTCCTCTTCCTCTTTCTCACTCCCCCCTCACCTAAGCACTTATCGACCCGCTGGAGTTGACCGTGAACCAGTCAGACACCGCTGAGGAAAACAAACAAAACAAAAAAACCCAGAGGCAATTACTCCATCGGCTCTGACATTAATTATCCATCTTACACTGAACAGAGCTACCACCCAGTTCACCCAGCTGAAGGCACAGAGCGTCCTCAGCTCCTGCTCAGCCTGCTGACGGCTGCTGTGTTAGAGAGGAGACTGTGTGTATTGTTCATCTTCCTCTGTCTTTATCTAACTGTGTGTGTGTGTGTGTGTGTGTGTGTGTGCGCTTTTATGCGTGTTATTGGCAGCGTGTCCTCAGGGCTCGTGGGGTCCAGACTGCATCCACACATGTAACTGTCACAACGGAGCTCAGTGCAGCGCCACAGACGGAGAGTGTAACTGCAGCCCTGGATGGACGGGACTCTACTGTACTCAGCGTATGCCTCCCACACACACACACACACACACACACACACACACACACAGAGCAGTGATACACTCTCTGGCTGCTGTGAGAGCACGTTACTGATGCGCTCTCACTTCTTGCAGCGGAGTCACAGAGGTCGGTCTCCTGCTTTGAATATCTCACACCTGCACCTCCATCTGGTGGCAGATCAAACAAACTACACGCCTGGAGACATTTGGCTTTTTATTATGAAGCTAAATAAACAGACACCACTTTAAATAAAGAGGTGAAACGTGGGGTGACTTCCATCGCCTTGTTCAGGTGTCGCTCTGACTACAGCAGCTGCTTATGGCTGAGGGAAGTTTTTAGTCGGATAGTTTTGTGCCTCCTTGTCTCCTCTCTCCTCCGTCCTCCTGACTGTGACCCAGAAATGGATCTCAGTGTGTTCCCTCGAAGGATCACTCACTTCCTAAAAGTCCTAAAATCTTGAGGAGGAAGGAGAGAGGAGGAGCTGTGAGCGAGGATGCACAGGTGTATCCTTGGCGAAAGTCTAGGTGTGACACACAGTTGATGATGCAGCTGTGTGTCACATGTCCAAAGCACAGGTGTCTCATTTTGATAATCAACCTGTTGCCTCGGCTCCACTCTCCTCGTGTCTCCTTCTTGTCTCCTCCACCCAAATCTCTGGGACAGATTAAGACGCGAGACAGGAATCAAGGATGTACAAACTATACACTGAGAAAAGCCTCTTCATTCCTTTATCTCCTTAGATTCCTTCCTCCCTTCCCTCCTTCCCTTTCTACCTCATCCTTTCCTCAGTGGAGTTCGATGCCACCTCAGCTGGCCAACATCATTAGACGCTTATACAATGTCAGGACAGCGTCCAATGCCGCCGATAGATGGCGCTGATGTTTTGTTGGTTTTAAGTTGTTGTTAAATAACCAAAATCCAACGTCTTCCAAACATCTCATGCTGACGTCATCTCAAGGTAGAACAACATTTAGTCGTGAGGTATGGAAAATAAAACCCAACGTCCACACAACATGAAACTCGAACGTCGTTAGACATTTAAAATATCGTCAGCCTGATTTTCATTCCAAGCAAAATTTAAAGTCTGGGTGAAGCAAAGTCAGTGATTTGTTTTTAAACACATCAGACGTGTTTGAAAATAATGACTGAGAACTGTGTTGTTGCATCGTGGAGTCAGACTGTTAAACTGTCCCTGTGTCCAGGATTGTTGGTCGGGCCTAAAAACCTGCTGGATGACACACTGGAGTCCTGTACCTGTAGTCCCCTTACAACCCATTTTGAAGCCTAATAATAATAATGATAACTTTATTTGTGCAGCACAGTTGATGCTTTTAGCTTTTATTTAATAGAATGAGAAAATACAGATATGAGACAATAAAATGAAGTTAAAAAGATATAAATACACACACACATAAAAAAATATGGCAGATATCAGATAAACAGTCAGGAGTCAGTCCATGAAGAGAAATCTTAAAATGAATTCTAAACTAAACAGGAAGCCGATAAAGAGCCTTTAAAACTGGAGTAATGTGCTCTTGGCATTTAGTCTTGGTGAGCAGACGTGCTGCTGCATTTTGGATCATCTGCACTTCACATACTTGGTGATTGTTTTTAATCTTTTATATTCTGCTGATTATTAATAACACATTATTCTGTGGTGTTACGAACTCATCACACATATAAACACTTCCTTGCTTCACCCAGACTTTAATGTGTTTACAGGAAACAGCTGTGGTTTAATTTAAAAGTTTTCATCCGCCACGTCAGCTCAGATTATTTCTGGGTTTGTTTCCATCCTGAGTGAAACTCATCTGCTGCACTGATGCTGCTGCGTCACCACAAACAGCTCCAGAGTGTCTCCAGGGTTAAATCTGCCTGAGATGCAAACTGGGTCCGGTTCAATCTGCAGAGATGATCCGCGCTGGTTCCACTTTGACAGAACAGATTAGCCAGTCACAGGAAAGCTGCTTCAGATGAGTGGATCATCTCTCAGGTCTGAGGAACAGCGGATGTTGGAAAGTGTCCTCGTCCTCTGTTAGACATTGAAAACATGCTGTTGTGTGTCTGTCTTCAGGCTGTCCCACAGGTTTCTACGGCGGCCAGTGTGCTGAAGTGTGTCGCTGTCAGAACGGCGCCGACTGCGACCACATCAGCGGACAGTGTTCCTGCAGGACGGGGTTCATCGGACAGAGCTGTGAGCTCAGTGAGTGTGTGTGCACGTCCATGTCCATACACACACAGTGTCAGGTGTTCAGGATGAAAGAAACCAGCGAAGGCTGAGCAGTAATCTCATCGATGTCTTAGACAGCCTCGTGTCATCACAAAATAATGATATTCTCATATTATTATTATTCTGCTCACGTAGTTCAACAATAATGAAAATGATTATACTTCATATTAAAATGTATTTTAATGGAATAAACATTAGTTGTATTGTAAAAATGATGAAGAAAATGAAAAAGAAGCACAACAGCTGCTGCATAGTAAAGATGGAGGGATGTGTTATGACAACATAGATTATGAGATTACACGTACACGGACACGTTTTATTTTCACGTTGATATTTATATTTGATTTTTATTTTACACATGTAAAAAAAAGACTTGAAGATACCAACAGAAAGTCACATTCACAAATAATGTAAAGCAGTTGTCAGTGTAAAGTTACTTTGATTTACACATCTGAAAAGGAGTGAGAGGAAGTATAACCTTATTAAGTCCCGCCCCTTCTCCATTAAGTCACTGCGTGAAATGAAACAGCCTCAGACAGCACGTTTCATAAGAATCATATCAGTGTTTCTAAAGTGACGTAGTATCTGAGCTGACTGTGGAGGGGACGGTGGATGATTTGACACCTCAGAGAGACGTCAACAAACAACTGAACTGGTTGTGATTTAAGGAGTCATTACTGTGTTTTTGACATCTTTTTAACCCCTTAAAGGAAATGGCCACTTTAGAATGAAAATACAGACAGTACTTACTGACCCTCATGCCGACAAGAAGTCCAGTGTAGTTTTTTAATCCACAAAACTCATTCGGGGTATCGGAGGATAACAGCTAGCCGGAATAACAGCTACACTTGAAGTGCATGGAACCCACATTTTGAAAATGTAATAAAACTCTGCTAATGCATTTCAAAAACGTCAGAGCGTCTCGTCCGTCGTAATCCAAGTGCCCTGAAGCCGCAGCATGCAAAACTGACTTGAAAAGACGTAATTTACTCCACTTTTATAGCATCATTTCTCACCGTGGTCAGTTAGTCTGCATATCGCGTGACTCGAAAACAAGAGCGTTTTTGAGCGTTCTCCAGTCTCGCACAAGTTCCCATGTTAACACAGCGCTCCTGCAGGCTAACTGACCACGTTGAGAAATGATGCTATAAAAGTGGAGTAAATTACGTCTTTTCAAATCAGTTTTGCATGCCGCTGCTTCAGGGCACTTGGATTATGACGGACGAGCCGCTCTGACATTTTTGAAATGCATTAGTGGAGTTTTATTACATTTTCAAAATCCGGCTAGCTGTTATCCTCTGATACCCCGAACAAGTTTTGTGGATTAAAAAACTACACTGGACTTCTTGTCGGCATGAGGGTCAGTAAGTACTGTCTGTATTTTCATTCTAAAGGGGTTATTTCCTTTAATGAGGTTGTCTTTAAGCGATCTATCGCTGTGTTTCCTGCTGAGATAGTGGCACCAAACATGATCTTTTCCAAACGATAACACACAAACATTACCCCTAAACCCAACGTGTGGCAGCAACCAGTCCATATTAATCTGGCTCTAGTAGATCAACTGAAGAGGAAAATAATTATCATTATTATAGTGATAAAAAATTAATTGATATTAAATAAAAATAATTTTCACCTATTTTTCAGCGATCTGATTGGTCGTCTTCTTCTGACCCTTTGCCTGGCTTTAGGGTGATATAGCTGACTGTTGGTTTGGCTTCATCTGGACAGTGGTTTGGTTTTTGCATTCTCATTTGGACGGAGGATTTTTTAAAAACAAGGGGAAAAACCCTGTTTTCAGAAATACCTGTGTCCATGTGGACTCGGCCGTAGTTTCATGTTTTTAAGATGATGAGCTGAAGAGAGTCGAGCCACAAAGAGACGATGGAACTTAAACTGATAATCAGAGTTCTGAGTTTAAACATTACACCTGTAATAATCTCTGCTCATCCACCTGTGAGATCTAAAGACATATCAGACCTCTGCTCCTCCTCCTCTGTGTCCAGAGTGTCCTGCAGGGACGTTTGGTTACGGCTGCCAGCAGCTGTGTGAGTGCATGAACAACGCCACCTGTGACTACGTGACGGGAACCTGTTACTGCAGCATCGGCTTCAAAGGCATCCGCTGTGACCAGGGTGAGAGCTAATGTTGTGTGTGTGAGGCTGATCTGAGGGTCTGATGGAGATGAAACATGAAAACAAGATGACAGGAGGATATACATTATGTTAGAGATTAAAAAGAAGACAAAGTGTTTCTGTAGGATGAAGGAACAAAGAGTTGTCTGATGGACACACACGTCTGCTGGGTTACAGATAAAAAGACAGATCTGGTGTAAAATACAAGAATAAAATATGTAGAGTCAACAACACAGCTGTGAGTGAACTGTGAGGACTTTAATGAGCCGTAGTGTGTGTTGGTGACAGGAGATCAGGTGTTGTGTGTTTACCTGTTGTGTGTCCTGTTCTGCTCAGCGGCTCTGATGATGGAGGAGCTGAACCCGTACACTAAGATCAGCCCGGCGCTGGCATCAGAGCGCCAGTCGGCTGGCGCCGTCCTGGGCATCATCTTCCTGCTGCTGCTCATCATGGCCATGCTCGGCCTGGTCGTCTGGTTCCGCTACCGGCAGAGAGAGAAAGGCCACCACGTGCCGAGCGTCACCTACACGCCTGCCCTGCACATCAACTCCACAGACTACTCCCTCTCAGGTGAGACGACCGAGGCTCTGGTGGTTAGCTTCTTCCTCCAGGTGGTTTTCTTTCTTCCAGGCTGAGTGGACGGACAGACGACCTGAGCTACGACTGGAACTGATTCTGTTTTCATTTAATCATTTAATCCATGAATTGTCAAAAAATGTGAGAAAGTTTTTCATCAGTTTGTTTTGTCAGGCCAAAGAAATTCAATTTACAATGATAGAAAACAGAAATCTCACATTTTAGAGGCTGGAAGCTTTATAAACAATGAGTTATTGAAAATTGTTGTAAATTAATTTGCACTGTGTGAGATAATGACTGTTAGTGTCTGTGCAGCTCTAACCTTCTATGATCACACGCAGGAGAGAGCAGGTAAAGGAAATGAATGTTCTCAGTGTTTCACAGTGTTCTCTTGGTTCCAGTTGGACTTCCTTTGTTTTAATCTGCAGCATCAGTGTGTAGATTCCTGGTGTCAGGTTGTGTGTGTGTGTATTGATGATGTGTAGATGATGTCAGTGTGTGTGCTGATGCTGTGTGCTGACAGCAGGGCTGCAGTGTACAGGCCTGCTCTCCTCTCCAGACTCCTCTCCCAGTAACAGCTCTGTAGGACGCTGCTTCTCCAACACCAGCTACCGCACTCTGGGGCCGTGCACCTACGCTGCCCACTACGCCAAGCCGGACAAGAGGAGCTCCACCAAGGTACGTTCAAGGACTCTTTCTCTGGTAGATGTGATTTCGGCTGCTTTATTTTTGGCAGTTTTTTTAATCCACTTTATTTATTATTTTTCACATTTAAGAAATCATGTATGCAAGAGTACAGGAAAACATTTTTTCTCCCCCTGGAAACAAACAGTCAGATAAACTGCAGTATGAAAGAATAATGTGCCCCATAAAAAAAAGCATTAATAGACACATATGTGTGTGCCTGCAGATGTTGAGAACCAACAGTACAACAACCTCACAGCTGTTCAAGCAGATATATAATGAAGAGTTGTCAACAGGTTACCCACAAGGCCACTGCCCTTAAAAAGGGTGAGCTGGTAACAGGTTGTCATTTTAACAAAATGAGCAGCTTTCGTCTCTGTCAGTCAGAAATCAAAGATCCATTCTTTATAAAACAGGAACCAAAAGGGGCGGGGCCTAACAAATCTTAAATATTAATACGTGCCTTCTCCTCCTAACTTTAATTAGTTATTTACAATCAAAAAGGCGTCTTATGGCATCATGAATACAGATTACAGTATTAAAATAACTCAGTGAAACAGCAGACAGAAATAAATGATAATGAACGACAAACAAAACTAAAAAACAAAATGAAAGTGATTCATTCAGGATTTAAAGTTCACAGATATTCATAATGACAGAGGGCCTTTCCTATTTTACAGCATTTTACATATTTTTTGTTTAGAATTACTTCATTTAGAAAGGCAGGAAATATTAGGCTAGTTATTTATTTTATTTTTTTTAAATTGTGAATAAAATATAATAAAATATTGATCCCAAATTCTGTTTTCAGAAAACTTTATATTTTCATAATATAAAAATCATAATATTTTGATCCTTGTAATTCAGCCAATATTGTAAAAAAGTCCCAAAAGGTCCTGATTAAATTACAGGAGAAGAACAGAAGGTTTCAGTGTCTGACGTCACTCT